GGGATTTGGCAAGCGCATACTCAACGTCACTGTGGTCGGAGAAGGTGAGTGAAGGCACTTCACCATGCCTGCCCATGCACCTCCCTGAGTGGCTCATAGAACGCGCCTCCCTTCCCTCGAGCTCCTCCAATCGTCGCGCTTCCCATCGTCGCGCATCGACTAGCTCTAGCTGCGCCTCAGCTTGCTCTTCTGCTTCACCACTACAACTGTAGGGGAACACAAGCAAGCACACATGATGAAAGCATGGGGAGACAGTGATGGGTGCACATGCATGGGAACTAGAGGGCGAAAGGTGAGGGGGAAGGGGAGGGCATGACATGAAAGGTAAGGGTTGAGAAGGGATGGAGAAGGGAAGGTCAGGGCAGGGAGGGAAAGGCAGGGATGGGGAGGGCAGGTGGGAACAGGGGAGAGGGTGAGGGGAAGGAGGGCTGAGGGTGGTGGGAAGGAGAGTGCAAGTGCGAGAGGACGGAGAGAGAGAGGGAGTGGGAGAGGACTGAGAGAGTGAGTGTGGGAGGAAGGAGAATGAGAGTGATGGGAGGCAGCAGGGAAGGGGATGAGGGGAAGCAGGGCAGGGGATGGGGGGAAAGAAGGGAAGGGGATGGGGGGAATCAGGGAATGGGGTGAAGCAAGGCAGGGGATGGGGGAAAGCAGGGAAGGGGATGGGGGGAAGCAGGGAAGGGGATGGGGGAAAGTAGGGAAGGGGATGGGGGGAAGCAGGGAAGGGGATGGGGGAAAGTAGGGAAAGGGATGGGGGGAAGTAGGGAAGGGGATGGGGGGAAGCAGGGAAGGGGATGGGGGGAAGCAGGGAAGGGGATGGGGGGAAGCAGGGAAGGGGATGGGGGGAAGCAGGGAAGGGGATAGGGGAAAGCAGGGAAGGGGATGGGGGGAAGCAGGGAAGGGGATGGGGGGAAGCAGGGAAGGGGATGGGGGGAAGCAGGGAAGGGGATGGGAGAAATCAGGAAACGGATGAGGGGAAGCAGGGAAGGGAATGGGGGGAAGCAGGGGAGGGGATGGGGGAAGAAGGGAAGGGGATGGGGGGAAGTAGGGAGGGGGATGTGGGGAAAGCAGGGAAGGGGATGGGGGGAATCAAGGAAGGAGATGGGGGGAAGCAGGGATGGGGATGGGAGGAATCAGGAAGGGGGGGATGGGGGAAGCAGGGAGGGGATGGGGGAAGAGGGAGGGGATGGGGGAAAGTAGGGAGGGGGATGGGGGGAAGTAGGGAGGGGATGGGGGAAAGCAGGGAAGGGGATGGGGGGAAGCAGGGAAGGGGATGGGGGGAAGCAGGGAAGGGGATGGGGGGAAGCAGGGAAGGGGATGGGGGGAAGCAGGGAAGGGGATGGGGGGAAGCAGGGAAGGGGATGGGGGGAAGCAGGGAAGGGGATGGGGGGAAGCAGGGAAGGGGATGGGGGGAAGCAGGGAAGGGGATGGGGGGAAGCAGGGAAGGGGATGGGGGGAAGCAGGGAAGGGGATGGGGGAAGTAGGGAGGGGGATGGGGTGAAGCAGGGCAAGGGATGGGGTGAAGCAGGGCAAGGGATGGGGTGAAGCAGGGCAAGGGATGGGGTGAAGCAGGGCAAGGGATGGGGGGAACCAAGCAGGGAAGGGGATGGGGGGAACGGGGGCAGATGCCGGGGAGAGAGCTGGGGGGAGGATGGCGGGGAGCAGAGAGGTGTTTCAAACGATGTTCGATTGGGGTGGCGGAAGTGACCACCTCTGTTCCTCCCCATCTGTCCCACCCCTTCGGAAGGAATGAGGGAGGAAGGATGGGGTGGAGATGGTGAGATGGGGAGAGGGGAAGAGCGGATGCAAACGCGGATGACCAGGGGAAGCGCGAGTGACTGGGAGGCAAGCCCGACGACGGGACGCGCGGGCGACGAGGACTGGCGAGGGCGGCGAGGGTCGGCAAGGGTGATGAGTGGAAGCGCGAGCGACGCCAGGGAATGTGGGTGACTAAGAGAGGTGAGGGCGGCGAGGATCGGTACGGGTCGACGAGGGTGATGAGGGGAGCGCGGGTGACGATCTGAAGCGCGGTATGTTTACTAACAACGATTGCGACTAGGGGATGTGTGGTTAACGTGGGAAAGCGCGGGCGACCAGGGGAACATACGCGACCAGAGGGTCGGTGAGGGTGATGAGGGAAAGCGCCGGTGACGAGGAAAGCGGTCTGACGTTGGGAGGGAACGGCTGACGAGGAGGAACATGTGCGACTAACGGCTGAGTGCGTCACGCGAACCAGTACGGCATTCGCGTGAGCGACCCGTGCCTAAAACGGTACGATCGTGACACGAGGTTGAACCGCAGCAAGTGTGACAAGAGCCTGCGTGTGCGACGCGAGCTTGAATGCGAGTAACGTGAATCTCGTTTACTAACTTAAGAGCCGTGGGTGAACGAGTTGTAACACGAGGAAAGATCGGCGCGTGGACTGACTTAGATGGTTGAGGTGGACTTACATTTCCTTCCGCACAAAAAAAAAAGCCTATCAACGACTCGCTTTTGCCAACTTGCGCTAGTTTTTGCCTTGGAGCCTCCTAGCCTAGGGGTACTACTTGGTCAGCAAGTTATGTGCCCACTGAACAGTGCATATGGTTGGCGATCATCGCGTCAGTTCTGGTTTCGGGTACTCGGGTTCCGTTGTCGCAGGACGATTGCCTGGGATCGCGAGAGTTTTTTCAAAACAAGTAGGGTAACCCTGTTTTTTGCGACTTCAAGTTCAAGAATCTTGAACTTGAAAATTACCATGCTGTATCCGGGATTTAAACCCGTCGCAACCCAACCTTACGGCTCGGCTGGTAACCCGTGCTCCGGGCCTCCGCTTCGACAAGTTTCGACCTCAATCCCGCCCTCAGTCACAGGCCCGTCGCGCATCACCCACAATTTGTTAACGTTAACCCTTTGCTATATAGTTCTTGCTCATGCCTTAGCTCAATGTACTGTTTTGCTTAGATAGTGCAATTCTAGCTCGCTCGTTCAATAGTGCAATTCTAGCTTGCTCGTTCAATCTCAATAGTAACACTCATAAGTTTAGTTTGCACACTACCGTATTTCTTTCAACTCATGGCATGCGGATCTTGAGAAACTGACGGCGGTCAACGATCACACAACGCGGGTTCTCCCGCGTTTTTTCGACGAGGAACCCCACGATGAAGAACGAGAAAGGGACAGGTGACAGGTTTCAGCCACAACAAATTGAGGCCACCTCGAGCAGCTCAGCCAGTTCAGTGCAGTCTGGGCCCGGGCCTCGAGCCCGATACTGTGTACAGTATCTTGTGATGAAATTTGATGTTCGCGGTTTGGAGGGCAGAACCCTTGCACCACAAGTGAACCGTAATCATTCAAATCGAAAATAAAAGAAAACAAACCGTTTTACATCGCGTGAAAATACGCGACCTTGAGGATCAGCTGACCTGCTTCGGTGAACAACAGACCAGGCGTCTCGCCAAGGAAAGGGCGGATTGTAAGGTCACTGAAGTACACCCCACTACCTTCCAACAACTAACTCTATATCTTGCCATTACAAGCTAAAAATGGCTGGATGCACAACGAACCGTATAGAAATGTCAAGCACATTATGTATATTGATAAAACGTAGTTGATAAAAATTGAATAAAAATGCAAATATATTATTGATAAAACTCTATTAAAATAAAGTGCTATTTTTTCATGAACCTCTATGCTGTTATACATTCTATAAACTCTAGTAATTAATTTTTTAAGTTTAATGTTTTTTAAGTGGGTCATGCATGTTGTGTTTGAGACCCCAATAATTTATCCACTACCAACATATGTTTGTTGCTATTTATGATTATTGGTTTTATATAAGTTGTCATTACGATTTACTGGCATCTACAATTGTATCGTGTTTTCATATAAATTCCTATCCAGGTAACGTGTTGCAAACCTTGTTAGGTTGCCCCAACCTTTGTTCAGTTGCCCAAAACCTCCCACCAAAAACAAGGGCACATAACACGCTCTCACATAGGCTTCATAAAATATTCATATTGCCAAGATGATAGAAGGTCGGGGACAGTTTAGACCCCCGCTTACAAGCGACGGAAAATCATTGCGCCTGAAAGAAAATAAGTATCATGAGCTTTATGACATTAACAAGTAATTGGGTGTATATTTGCTCAAACCAGCCTCATGCCCTTCTTCCCTTGCTCTACCTTCCCTTGTCTTTCGCCCATTCGCCTGGGCGGCGCTGACGCACAAGTGATTGCGTCCAGGCACCATTCGCAAAATGCTGCACTGAGGCCTGAGGCGTGTACCCGTTTTGATTTTCTAACGCTGGCCTCACCCTCTCCACACCAACTAACTCATGCATACGTCCAGCATGAGAAGTAATGTCCCCCCTCGCCCATTCGCGAAGACTAAATTGCCATGTTTTCAAGGATTCTAGATTGGGAGAGAGGAATCTTTTGCGCGACTGCCATGGAGTTGTACAGTGACCCCAACGAGGCGCTGCGAGCAATTCAGGCAGTAATGGAAGACCATAGCCCGTGGGCCGTGGCAAGCCAACGCGGCGGCCTGAATATCATGCGGAAACAGTGTAGAAAAACTGGCGCTCGCTGTGTCTTTCGATCACGTGCTCGTCTTCATATCAGCCGGGCTGACTCGTCCGTTCATGTTATTACGACGAACTGAAAGTTATGCATTTCTTGAGCACCAGCTACCACATCGAACGTCCACGTCACAAAGACTTAGGTTTGCCCTCACAGCACTTGATTAGCAGCAGCTTGTCCTGAGTCAGTCCTTGCCTTCCCTGCGAGCTCCAACTTGCCGCGTTTCGCTGCACCAGGTGCACAGCAGCCGCAACCACAGCACAGTCGTCGTCGCCTTGCCTGCGACCCATTGCGACTCCCGCTACTATGTCCGTCGCAATGGCCGACCGTTCTGCCGCTTCAACTTGGCACTTGCTCCCACCCGCATCCACCGTTATTGCCGAGCGCGTCGCCGAATCTCCGCGAGCCATAGACCCGCGCCTCCTCTCGCGCGGGCGACGAATCATGGAACGCGGGTCGGACCCGCCTCCGCTCGCAGCTGACGCAAACGCGGACGCCGCCGCGACAATCTCAGGTGTAGCTTCGGAAGCCTGCCCCGCCAGTTCCGCATGCACTCCAACGAGCCGCTCCGGCACCAGCGGTCCCGCACGAAGCGCGAGGCGGCGAATCCCAGCCCCGACGAGCCCGCCCAGCGCTGCGAGCAGCGTGTCACCCATGTCCCCTGTTTCCATGCTCCGTGGCGCGCGGTCGGGGTCCGCATCCGCGCCCCGGGGGGGAGGCGCGAGTCCGCCGTTCGTGGACGGGAGCGTGCCCGCGATCCACGGCGCTAGTGAGGGCGCGTTTGTTCCAGTGGTGAAGGACGCGCTGAGCCACTGCGCGCCGAGCGACTCTGCAGGCCACATGATGCCCCCTGGCACTCGCCGCTCCCACCAGCCAGCTGCGGCCGCGCATTCCTCGTCCGCCCCCACTTCCGCCTCTGGCTCGAGCGGGGATGCGCGGAGGCGCGCGGGCAGTCACCGGCGGTCACTCTCGTGCCCCAGCCACGACGCCCTCATGGCCGACGCTCTCCAGCCGCTTCCCGCGCCCGCGGCGCGCATGGCGCGGTGCTCGGGCTCCAGCAACAACCTCGCGCTCATCGCCGCCGCTGCCACCACCGCGCCAACACCCGCCACCATCCCCTCGCCCAATCGCCATCGCGTCCTCTCCGCCGCCTCTGCCGGCGGTCGTTCTGCCGGCAGCCCCCCGTTGGATTCGCCTCCGCGTGTAATAGCCGCCACGCCAGGCGTGACAGTAAACCGTCGCGGCGCCACGCGACCCAGGGGCCTCGACAGTTCCGCGTCCTTTCCGGCCGTGAGCTCGTCCCCCGTCTTCACCTCGTTCGCTCCTTCAGTCTCCGCCACCCCCGCTTCACCCGTCGCTTGCCCCACAACCCCCTCCGGCCTGCCGCCTCGCTCCCGGAAACCCGCCGCGCCGCACAGCAGTGCCTACCCGCAGGCATCTCCACGTCCCGCGTCGCTTGACGAGCCCGCGATGTTCGCAAGTGACGGCGACCGATTCCATGCGACGTCGCCCACGCTCGCACGGATTGAGCCCACATCGCAGAGCGCGGCTGCCCCGATCATGGCGAGCAGCCCGTGGGCGCGCGACGAGTCGCCGCGATTTTCGGCAGCAACGGGAAGGAAAGGCGGGTTCAGCCCTGCGGTCAGCCCTAACGCGCTCAGCCCTACTGCGTTCGCATTCCCTCTTCAAGGCGACCCCATGCCAAGCCCTCACTCGGTGCCTCTTCTCAACCTTCCTCCGGAAGCGGGCAGGACGGGAAAGGCGCCCGCAAGCAGTCAACCGGGTGGAGCTGTGATTCTGAATACCGCTGGCTTTGATGCTCGGGTTGGGCCGTTGGCAAGTGACGAGGGGAGCGACTCGGATGATGATTTCATGGGGCTGTACGAGACGGTGACACAGCGGAGGGCCATGGTGTCCGCCGCCCACCACATGCTGGCTGCAGCCGCCTCTGCCAACGCAGCCCCCACCCACGCTCACAGCCCGGCGCCAAGTGGTCGCAGTGCGGCCGCGCACGGAGGCCCTGGCGTAGCGAGTGGCGGGGGTGGTGGGAGTGAGCGTGGGGTGCAGGGAAGGAGTGGCAGGCGGCGCAGCATGTCTGTAGATTTCAACTTGTCATCGTGGGCCATGGAGCTGTACGACTCCGTTAAAGGCAGCAGGGGTGCAGAGCGGCGAGACGCGGTCAAGGGCGGTGCGACGCCCAGAGATGGGTGCATGCAGAGGACGCTGGGCGCTGGGAGCAGAGACAGCACTCCGAATAGCAGCAGACGCAGCACAAGCAGCAGCAGCAGTGGGTGGAGCAGTGTGAGCCGCCGTGACAGTAACGACAGCAGCAGGAGCATCCGCATGAGCACTAGCAGCAGCACCAGCAGTGGCAGTAGTGTCAGCATTCACAGTGTGTGGCTGGATTCAGAGTGTGGGGAAGATGAGGTGAGCAACGCCTGTGCAAGCATTGACTTGCCACAGGGCGGCAGGCAGCTGAGTGCGAGCAAGAAGAGCGTCAAGTTCAATCAAGATGTTGAATGGATCTGACCTCACTCTACAGGTCCAAGGCCTTCTCTTCACACTGCAGATATGCCAACAGCCAACATCAGTAGTGTGTATAGCTGGTGGTGTTCGTAATTATCATGTAGTAGTGCGTTGTAGTACATGTTCTTATTTTTCTTACCTAAACCACGTAGTTCCTACCTTTTACCGCATTTCACCGGAGCCCCAAAGCAGACCCTCGCCCCCGCAAAAGCGAACCCATGCATCAGTGTGGCGGGCGAGCCCAAGGTGAAGCTTCTTCGGGCAGGCCAGCCATGGCCACGCAGGAAGTCCCTGCCACCGCCCATCTCTCGGATCGCCTCGTCGAATCGTCTGACCCGCACAACACGCCCCTTGCATTCGACCTGGCGGCGAATGGCGAAAGGCCGGTTTGCGGTGACGCTTCTTTGCATGAATGCGCGCCTCGCGGGAAATGCCAAAATCCCGAAACGGTAGTAACGGGAATAGAGGCGTCACATGAGGCACCGCCTTCGCCGGCGTCGCGCTGCGACAATGCGGCCACTCACCGATCGGGCGCAACCAATCTCCCCCGTCCGGCGGGCCTCCAGCCGCTGGACGCGGAGGAGTTCCGCGCGCACGCGCACCGCATGGTGGACTATATCGCGGACTACTACCGCGATATCGAGTCATACCCCGTTAGAAGCACCGTCGAGGTAAGCACGCATATCCTTGCCGTCTCCCTTCCTCTTCTCCCCGCGAGTCCGCCCATCCCCGTGTGTCCCTGCGCTGATCCCATGGCCCCACTCCAGCCTCTCCATCCGCCCTCGTCGCCTCGCGCGCGTCGCCTCTCTCCCCCTCGTCATCATTGCTCTTCTCCTCCGCGTGCCGTGCAGCCAGGGTACCTGCAGCAGCACGTGCCTGAGAGCGCACCCGAGGAAGGCGAGCCGCTCCACAAGATACTCGCAGGTAACCATACTGCTGCTGCCTGCTGCTGCCTGCTGCTGGGGTGCTGCTGGGGTGCTGCCTGTGTGTGTGGCGCTAGTGCTGGTCGCGAATAAGGCACCAGAGCATATCATGCCTCCCTTCACGCCGCCTCCCGTCCCAATCACACTCAGTCGTCCCTCTCTCCTCCCCTTTGCCCACCCTTCCCCCGCGCGCGCGAGCAGACGTGTCGGGCGGCATAATGCCAGGCATAACGCACTGGCAGAGCCCGTCCTTCTTCGCCTTCTTCCCCGCCAACAGCAGCACGGCCGCGCTGCTGGCGGACATGCTGTGCTCCGCGCTCAACGTCGTCGCCTTCAACTGGCTCGCCTCGCCCGCCGCCACCGAGCTTGAGACTCGCGTGCTCGACTGGTTCGCGCGCCTGCTGCTGCTGCCGCCCGTCTTCCTCGCCTCTGACTCTGGTGGGCGCCACCGCTGCTGCGTGCTGCGTGCTGCATGTTGATTCTCCACCCAGGACGAGCAGCCACCATCATGCATGCACCAAACTGACAACTTCCCCTGTTGCCCCCGCCTTCTCATCCGCACCCATTCCCCATCACCCCCGTCCCCCCCACTCGTATAATCAACCCTCCCACCCAACCGTGCAATCTGTCTCATGTGTCCGGCGGCTGTGCTGTGCGTGCAGGCGGGAGGGGGGGCGGTGTGATTCAGGGCACTGCGAGCGAGGCGGTGCTGGTGGCCGTGCTGGCAGCGCGTGAGAAGGCCCTGCGCGCCCTGCATGCACAGCACCAGCAGCAGCACCACCACGCGCATGCACATGCAGCCGCAGGGGCAGGCGCAGTGGGGGATGCTGGCAAGGGCGGGGCAGGAGAGGGTGCGTTGGTGGGGAGGGGGGGCGGGTTGGAGCGGCTGGTGGCGTATGTGTCGGACCAGACCCACTCCTGCGTCAAGAAGGCCTGCCAGGTGCACGCCCTGGCGCCACGCACGGGCATGGCCGTGGGCACGGGCATGAGCAATGGGCATGGGCATGGGCATGGGCATGAGCATGGGCATGGGCATGGGCATGGGCATGGGCATGCGCAATGGGCATGGGCATGGGCATGCGCAATGGGCATGGGCATGGGCATGCGCAATGGGCATGGGCATGGGAAACGAAACAGGTTTTGTGGAATGCTGTGCTGTGCTGCTCATGTCAATTCCCTGGGTGATGCCCACAGTGCCAAGAACCACCACCCACCACTTTCTTCTCCCTTGTTCCTGCCCTTTCCTTCATCCCCCGCCTCTCTCGCTCCATCACACTCACACTCACACACACACACTGCTGGACACCATCACCCACTTCTCCCCTCCACATCCTTCCCCCCCCAATCCGCACCCGCTTCCCCTTCCCCCCCCCCACCCACCCACGTCCCTTCCTTGCCATGCGCCCACGCACCCCTTCCCTCTCTCCTCGTCCCCCATCAGATCGCGGGCCTTCCCAGCAGCAACCTGCGAGTGCTGCCCACGCGTGCGAGCGACCACTACGCACTGCACCCCAGCACGCTGCAAGAGGCCGTGCACGCCGACACACGTGCCGGGCTCGTGCCCTTCTTCCTCACCTGCACCGTACGACACCGTGCCCCTGCACTGGGCTGCCTGCCACGTGCATGCCATGCCATGATGTGTTGCATGCGTGCGACCGCGACGATGCTACGTCATGTCATGGCACACACACATGGCACACACACATGGCACACACACATGGCACACACACATGGCACACACACATGGTACATTGTCTCATGACTCTCATCTGCATGGCCTCCCACCTTCTGCTCTGGGTCCTGCTCTCCCCCAGTGATCCTCATGCTCCTTTTCCTCTTCTTTGGTGCCATGTCTCCCCATCCCCTCCTCCTTCACTGCTCGCTCTCCTTCCCCTTCCAGGTCGGCACCACCTCGTCCACCGCAGTGGACCCCATTGAACCGCTCGCCGCCATAGCTGAGGTACGAATACCCTGCACAGCGCATGGGTCGCCTGCGCTGCACGCCACACTGCTCATCGCACCCTCTCTGCGTCTCGCATGCGGTTCTCCCCTTGGCTGCATCCGTGCATGCACGCCCGTACGTCCCAGCACACCACCCATGCCTGCATGCCTTCCCGTCCCGCATGCATCACACAGCCGCCTGTGTGCGCGCCCATCACGCATACAGCAGCGGGAGCATCTCAATCCCACATGTCGCCCGCTTCCCTGCCGTCCTCCTCCTTCCCCTCGGCCCCTTCCCTCCGCTCCCTGCCCAGGCGCATGGCATGTGGGTGCACGTGGATGCGGCGTATGGCGGAGCGGCGTGTGTGTGTGAGGAGCACCGGCACCACCTGGCGGGCGTGCAGCACGTGCAGTCGCTGGCCGTCAACGCACACAAGTGGCTGCTCACTAACTTCGACTGCTGCTGCCTCTGGACGCAGGTTCTCCAACACTGCCACACGGGGGAGTGTGCACCGGGAAAGGGGTGCAGGGCATGGGAGGTGCAGGGCATGGGGGTGTGCAAGGCCGGGAGGAGAGGAGTTGTGGTTGTGGGATGGGATGAGGCAAAAGGACCCTTGCTGTATGCGTGCACCATGGCCGTTGCTGGGCTGGATGATGGATGGTGGGTGTCGGGGAGCCATCGGTGCTGGTGATGTGCATGCCATGCTGCTCTTGCATGCCATGCTGCTCTTGCATGCCATGCTGCTCTTGCATGCCATGCTGCTCTTGCATGCCATGCTGCTCTTGCATGCCATGCTGCTCTTGCATGCCGTGCTGCTCTTGCATGCCATGCTGCTCTTGCATGCCATGCTGCTCTTGCATGCCATGCTGCTTTTGCATGCCATGCTGCTCTTGCATGCCATGCTGCTCTTGCATGCCATGCTGCTCTTGCATGCCATGCTGCTCTTGCATGCCGTGCTGCTCTTGCATGCCATGCTGCTCTTGCATGCCATGCTGCTCTTGCATGCCGTGCTGCTCTTGCATGCCATGCTGCTCTTGCATGCCATGCTGCTCTTGCATGCCATGCTGCTCTTGCATGCCGTGCTGCTCTTGCATGCCGTGCTGCTCTTGCATGCCGTGCTGCTCTTGCATGCCGTGCTGCTCTTGCATGCCGTGCTGCTCTTGCATGCCGTGCTGCTCTTGCATGCCGTGCTGCTCTTGCATGCCGTGCTGCTCTTGCATGCCATGCTGCTCTTGCATGCCATGCTGCTCTTGCATGCCGTGCTGCTCTTGCATGCCGTGCTGCTCTTGCATGCCGTGCTGCTCTTGCATGCCGTGCTGCTCTTGCATGCCGTGCTGCTCTTGCATGCCATGCTGCTCTTGCATGCCGTGCTGCTCTTGCATGCCGTGCTGCTCTTGCATGCCGTGCTGCTCTTGCATGCCATGCTGCTCTTGCATGCCATGCTGCTCTTGCATGCCATGCTGCTCTTGCATGCTGTGCTGCTCTTGCATGCCGTGCTGCTCTTGCATGCCGTGCTGCTCTTGCATGCCGTGCTGCTCTTGCATGCCATGCTGCTCTTGCATGCCATGCTGCTCTTGCATGCCGTGCTGCTCTTGCATGCCGTGCTGCTCTTGCATGCCATGCTGCTCTTGCATGCCGTGCTGCTCTTGCATGCCGTGCTGCTCTTGCATGCCGTGCTGCTCTTGCATGCCATGCTGCTCTTGCATGCCGTGCTGCTCTTGCATGCCGTGCTGCTCTTGCATGCCATGCTGCTCTTGCATGCCATGCTGCTCTTGCATGCCATGCTGCTCTTGCATGCCATGCTTCTCTTGCATGCCGTGCTGCTCTTGCATGCCGTGCTGCTCTTGCATGCCGTGCTGCTCTTGCATGCCATGCTGCTCTTGCATGCCGTGCTGCTCTTGCATGCCGTGCAGCTCTTGCATGCCGTGCTGCTCTTGCATGCCGTGCTGCTCTTGCATGCCGTGCTGGCACTCAAAGGAATGCATGGCAGGTTTTATGTCATGTGGCCACCACTGGTTGACCTCACCCTCACCTCTGCTTAGTGTCGCATCCCCCACACCCAACGCGCTCACTCAAGCCACCTGCGCTACGTGGCTCTACTGCCCTGGGCCCGGCAGGACACCAAGGCGGTGCAGGACGCGCTCACCACCACGCCAGAGTACCTGCGCAACAAGGTCAGCACTGCGTGCTGTGCTGTCACCGCGTCCCATCCACCCGCCTTGCTTGCTGTCCTGCACGGTGCTGTCCTGCCCGTCTCGCTTCCTTGCTCGCCTCGGCATGCCCATGCATGTACCCACTCGCTTCTCTGGGCCTGCTATCACACCCCACCTTCCCCCCATGCGCGTCTCTCCCTTCTTACTTGCGCTCCGCGCTTGTCCTGTGGTGTGCTCATGCGTGGTGCATGAGTGAGCGAGTGCATGCGTGCGTGGGCGAGCAGGCATCGGACAGCCAGCGCGTGGTGGACTACAAGGACTGGCAGGTGCCCCTCGGCCGCCGCTTCCGGTCCGTCTCCCATCATTGCATAACCCCATGTCCCCATGCCCCCATGCTGCTACATAGAGAGTGATTGCTCCCTGGGCGGCCATGCTCCTCTGTGCTGCAGCTACCATCATGTGCGGCATTCGCATCACATATGCACACCCATGTTGTCATGCACATCTGCACACTCTCACTCACTCTCACCCTCTCACTCTTTCTCACTCTCACTCTCTCACTCTCACTCACTCTCACTCACTCTGACTCCGACTCTCACTCTCACTCTCACTCTCACTCTCACTCTCCTCCTCCTCCTCCTCCTCCTCCTCCTCCTCCTCCTCCTCCTCCTCCTCCTCCTCCTCCTCCTCCTCCCCCTCCCTCTCCCACTCTTTTCAAATGTTCTCCCCCCTACCCCCCGGGCTGGAGGAGAGCAGGGCGCTGAAGCTGTGGTTTGTGCTGCGCATGTTTGGAGCGGCGCAGCTGAGGGCGTACATCCGCCACCACGTGTCCCTCGCTCACTGGTTTGAGGCTGCTGTCTGCGCTGATGCCCGCTTCCAGGTGCCCATGCCTTGCTGCTCCCACGGATGCCCACGCACTGCCACACACGCATGCCCGTGCACACAGGCAACCACACACACACAGGCATGCAAGTGCACGTGTGTGAGTACACATAGTCAATTGCTCTGCTCGCATCAATCAACCCCACACAGAGCCCACCTATGCACTGACGAGCCTGCACTCTGCATATTCCCATCCCCACCCTCCCTCTCATGTCCCTCCCACAATCACCTCTTCCCCCCTCCTCACCCTCCCGCCCCTCCCACTCACCACGGCCCCCCATCCGTCCGTCCCATCTCACAGCTGATGGCACCGCGCACCTTCGCCCTCGTGTGCTTCCGCCTGCGCCCACCGGGGCAGGCAGAGCAGCGCACTGAGGGGCATGGTGATGGGGAGCAGGGGGGCGGGGCAAGGGGCAGTGGTGGCGACGAGGGCTGGGCACTGAATGAGGCACTGCTGGAGGCCGTCAACTCGTCTGGAAAAGCCTTCCTCACTCACACTGTAACACTCCTTTCTTCACTCCCCTCTCTTCACTCTCCTCTCTCCTGTCTCCTCTTTCCTCTCAACCCTCATCTAATATTGCGAGTGTTTGTCTCTCATGAACCCACTCGTGTGTCGCCGTCATGCTTTGCTCATCTGGGATCCTCTTGGCATCGCCCACGCATCCCCATAGAGCAGCTCGAGACATGCACGGAGGGGGGAAGCAGGAATGCACATTGCATCCACAGGCACTGATCCCACAGTCCTCTGTTGATCTCACTGCCTGCACTCTGGAAAGCTACCTCCAGCAACTGCTTCTCGTTCTCCACCCCCTTGCTCTCCCATTCCTCTCGGTCCCTTGGGAGAGCATGCACATGCGTAGGTTGCATTGCACGGGCGCCAGGCAATGTGCCTCCACTGCGCCCTTGTCCTGTGGCACACCCTGTGTGTGTTGGATCGGATGCTCAAATATGCTATGCTCTTTGTGATGCACTGCTTGCACACACAGGTGCTGTCGGGAAAATTCACTATTCGGATGGTGGTTGGGGCTTCTACAACTCAGAAGAGGCACGTGGAGGAAGCATGGGAGCTCATTCAAAGAGAGGCATCGCGCTTGCTGGAGAGAGTTTGACTCGAGCGCATCCCTCCCTCTCCCGTTGCATCAAGGAACCGAAGTTGTGGGATGGGAGTGAAATAATCGCTTATAATTGCCACTAATTAGTCTTGCATGTCTTATCATATGATTACTTTCATGCAGTACAAACTTGGTGTTAGTGCATAATGGTGACAACCAAAGAAGTGGCGTATTAGAGGAAGTACTATAAATCACGACTTTTCACCAGGTGTAACGTTACCAGCTATCGCGTGTCGCAACCAGCTGTCGCCTTTCCCCAACCTCTCGCTCCCTTCGCTCGCAACAAGTTTCACCGCTCTACATCTATCTCCACCACATACCCCTCCCATTATCCCAACACCCCTCGAGCTTCGCGCAGCACTCCGCACGCTCTCCCTCACCGCCACCACCTTCCTCCCCTCGCGTCCTCTTCAACCCTCGCTGTCCCTCCCTCCGTTCTTCGTTATAGTCACATCGCCATGGCCTGCTGCAGCCTACAGCTCGCGGCTCCCACCGCCGCGTGGAAGGGTCAGGCGCAGTCGCTCTCGGCCGCTGGCGACAAATCGTCGTTCTTTGGGCGACTTCCTTCTGTCGCACGGTCGCCGCTCGTCGCAGAGTACGACTCGTACCACACACCTTCCCGCTCATTAACCAAGTTCAGCGGGCCACGCCGTCAATTTCGCGTCGTATCCGGTCTTGTCGCAGGACAGAACCGCGTTGGTACCAGCGCGCTCAGATCATTCTGGGGTGCTAGCGGCTGGAAAGGCCTCTAGTGTCACAGTCGAGAGTTAATAGCAACAGTCCGCAGAGCGTAGGGAGGATCGCATTCAGCTATAGCGTCAGTTAGGGAGCTTAGTTCCATCTCATCGCGAATCGCGGGCGATCTCAAGGGTAGCGCCTGACCACCAGTTCACTCGGCCGTGATTAGGTCGTCATATTGCCACCGCGTCACGTCGTCACGCTTAGTTTCGCCCTCGCCCGTTTCGGTAGCCTTCCCTAACCCCGCCCCCTTATGCCCTCCCCCCGCGCTCTCAGGACCTCCTCCCGCCCTCTCATGCCCCCCTCTCCGTCCGCCCGCCCTCTTCTCCGCCCGTCCCTCCCGCACCGTCAGCGTCGCCGCGTCGCGACCAGCCGCCTCCAGGCGGGCCTCCGCCGCTCCGCGCGCGTCCAGCGGGCTCATCGGCGTGAGCGGCGACGTGGTGTCGCCGCGCGCGGCGCGGCAGAAGATCCCGCCGATGCAGCCGGTGGTGATGACGCCGTCGGGCCCGGCGGACCTGATGTCGGCGTTCCTGCGCAACCGCATCATCTTCGTGGGGTCCGCCATCAACCAGCAGATGGCGCAGCGCGTCATCCAGCAGCTGCTCGCGCTCTCCGCCGTCGACGACCGCCAAGACATCAAGGTGCGCGCCACGGCGAGGTGGGGGGGAGGGGGGGAGGGGGGGGAGGGGGGGATCCTGGGATGAGACGGGGGCAACGCGTGGCGCGGCAGGGGGAGGCATGGCAAGGCGCGTGAGAGCGAGCGAGGCCGTTGAGCTGCTGCCAATCGCGTTACTGCTCTGCACTGCACCTTCCCGTTGTTCCTCCCATTGCGCCTTCCCTTTCCCCTCACCTGAGCGTTCCTCTTCTGTTCCTCACTCTCCCCCTCTTCCCCTTCCCGCCACCACGTGCGCGTGGCGGTGCCGTGGTGGGCGTGCGCGCGGCGCAGATGTACATCAACTGCCCCGGCGGCAGCACGTACTCCGTGCTCGCCATCTACGACTGCATGGCGTGGGTAAGCCCTCCTCACTATCGCCCTCCCACCTCCCCCCCCCCTCACTATCACACACACACACACACACACACACACACACACACACACACACACACACACACACACACACACACACACACACACATACACACACACACGCACGCCCCACAAGCACAGCCATGCTACTCTGCCAGCCCGTGCTGTGTGCGTTGCGCGCCATGGGCCCGTGTCTGATGCTGTCGCGTCTCGCGTCCATTCAACTCGCCCCGCTCTTCCACGCACTCACATCCATCCGTCCCCGTGCGCGCTCACTCTTCCGCGCTCTGAGCCACCACATATGGGACAAGCAACATGCCGCCACCACCACCACTCGCACTGCGCTGTCTCTTGTCCCTGCCTGTTCCTGCCTGCAGCATCTGCCCGTGCACCCATCATTCCATCCATCATCATCATCTGCGCACCACTCATCACTTTATCCCCCCTTCCCACCCTCTCCCCCCTCCCCACTCTCTCCCCCTCCCACCCTCTTCCCCCTCCCCACCCTCTTCCCCCTCCCCACCCTCTCTCCCCTCCCCACGCGCGTCCCTCGCGCGCATGCGCGCGCAGATAAAGCCGGACGTGCAGACGGTGGCGTTTGGCATGACGGCGTCGCAGGGCGCGCTGCTGCTGGCGGCGGGCACCAAGGGCAAGCGCCTCGCCATGCCCAACGCGCGCATCATGATCCACCAGCCCCAGGGCGGCTGCGGGGTGCGCTGGGGGCGGGGGGGGAAGGGGAGGGGGAGGGGGAGGGGGAGGGGGAGGGGGGGGGGGGAGGGGAAGGTGGAGGGGGAGGGGGAGGGTTGGAGGGAAGTGGAAGGAGGGGAGAGGGAAACGGGTTGGGAGGGGAAGGGGGAAAGGAAGAGGGAGGGGGAAAGGGAGGGGGAGATAGGAAGGGAGAGAGTGAGGGAAAGGGTGAGGGAGAGGGTTAGGGAGGGGAAGGGAAAGAGGAATGGGGGGTGATGCATGGCACTCGCAGGTGTGCGCGCATGGCTGAACACATGCTCACACTGGGCCCCCACCCCCTCCCCTCCACCCCCCTCCCTCCAACCCCCTCCCATCACCCCCCCCCCTCAGTGAACCAAACACTTGCACCCTACCCACCCACCCACCCCACATGTGCACGCACATGCACAAATCACTCACTCATGCATCCACAGGCGCTCGCACATGCATGCATGCACGCACAAAGTTGTGCATGCATGCGGATGTGCTGCCGTGGATTCAGGCACGAATGCTGTTTGGTTCCCGCTGCCATGCCCACTTGTCATGCCATGCCTAATGCTTATCTGCTTCCTGCTTTCTCACCCTGGGATGGATTGATTGGCTGTGCCATGTCGCTGTGTGTGATGCGCCATGTGTGATTCGCCATGTGTGATGCGCCTTGTGTGATGCGGCATGCATACAACAGGGTACATCAGAGGACGTGCGGCGGCAAGTCAACGAGGTCATGGCGTCTCGTGATGTAACCCCACTCACCCCACCTCCCTGCCCTTGTCGTCCCCTCTCTCCTCTCATTTCCACGCTTCCTCTGCTTCGTTGCTGCATGCTCCCTCGCATGCGCGCCATGCAAGCGCCTCTCACTCTGCCGTGCGGTGCCACGCCATGCAACAATGTCAACCTTCCATGTTTTGCACCCATGTCCATGGCACGGCACATGCACCATGCCTTCAACTGTCCCATTTGTGTTGGAGTCTCTTTTGCCTGCCTTCGGCTCTGCTGCTCCTTGTCGCCTCACTCTCCTTTCTCCCATTCGTGTGATCCTATGCGTGTCTGGATGTGTGTGGATCCTTTACCTCCTGCCCCCCCTCTCTCCATGCATGTGTTGTTGTTCTCTCTCTGAATGCGGCTTGCATGCACGTGTGTGCCGTTGTTGCTGCTTGCATGCATGTGTGTGCCGTTGTTGCTGCTTGCATGCGTGTGCGTCTATGTGTGCTTATGCCTGTGGGCGCATCAGAAGCTGGACAAGATGTTCTCCGCGTTCACAGGCCAGCCAGTGGAGCTTATTCAGAAGTACACCGAGAGGGATCGCTTCTTCTCCGCTGCCGAGGTCTCTCCTCCCATGCCCTCCCATGCCCTCCCATGCCCTCCCATGCCCTCCCATGCCCTCCCATGCCCTCCCATGCCCTCCCATGCCCTCCCATGCCCTCCCATGCCCTCCCATGCCCTCCCATGCCCTCCCATGCCCTCCCATGCCCTCCCATGCCCTCCCATGCCCTCCCATGCCCTCCCATGCCCTCCCATGCCCTCCCATGCCCTCCCATGCCCTCCCATGCCCTCCCATGCCCTCCCATGCCCTCCCATGCCCTCCCATGCCCTCCCATGCCCTCCCATGCCCTCCCATGCCCTCCCATGCCCTCCCATGCCCTCCCATGCCCTCCCATGCCCTCCCATGCCCTCCCATGCCCTCCCATGCCCTCCCATGCCCTCCCATGCCCTCCCATGCCCTCCCATGCCCTCCCATGCCCTCCCATGCCCTCCCATGCCCTCCCATGCCCTCCCATGCCCTCCCATGCCCTCCCATGCCCTCCCATGCCCTCCCATGCCCTCCCATGCCCTCCCATGCCCTCCCATGCCCTCCCATGCCCTCCCATGCCCTCCCATGCCCTCCCATGCCCTCCCATGCCCTCCCATGCCCTCCCATGCCCTCCCATGCCCTCCCATGCCCTCCCATGCCCTCCCATGCCCTCCCATCCCCTCTCATCCGCCCGTGCCCACCCGTTCTGTTATGCCGCGTTGCCTTACTGCGGAGCTGCATCTGGCCATGTCTGATCGCATGACGTCCCATTCTTCTCTCTTCCTCACTGCTCCCCCGTCCTGTCATGCTGTGCCTGGCATGAAAACCTCTCATGCACCGTGCGCCTGTGCCATGCCTGTGCTGTGCGGTGTTGAGCAGGCCGTTGAGTTTGGGCTCATTGACGGGCTGCTGGAGACAGAGTACTAGCACTAGATGCCAACCACCGCCACCCCCGCTACTGCTCACACCAAATATGTGTTAGAATCTAGCAGCAGGAATGAATGAACTAACAGGATGCAGGAGTACAAGTAGTAAACCCTAATTGGGTTGTACCCTATATGGGCTACCCCACTACAGCCTAGACAATATGCAGCACATATAGTTTGACACACCCCCATAGGCAAAGTGGGGAAGAACAAGGGGTCACACGACCAGTCAAGAGAAGCAAAACAAGCTCAGGGTGGATCACAACGTCACCACGCATTCCGAGCACAAGCAAAGGGCCACAGGTCTAGTTCACATGCAGAGATATATATGCAGCAATAACAGTACAGTGATGGCTACCTAGCAAGAGCCAGCATGCATATATATATATATATATATATATATATATATATATATATATATCACAGTACAAGCAGAGACTACAGCAAGTGTGGAAACGTAGGCACAAGACCCAATAGAGTATAAAAGCGCTGATGATTACCAGACGGAAGTGCCTTGGTGAATATATCAGCAGTGTTGGCCCGAGTGGCCACGTGGCGAAGACGAAGCTGGCCTCGCTGCTGCAACTCTCGAGCCAGGAAGTAACGCAGAGCAATGTGCTTCGTTCTGTGCTCCAGTCTGTGCTCCTCACACAAGGCAATGACGGCCTTGTTGTCGACGTACAGCACTGGAGGAGAACGAGGCTGCTCTCCCAAGTCAGTCAGCAGGTAGGTGAGCCAGCGTAACTCCTGTGCAGCCATGGCTGTGGCGTAGATCTCAGCCTTACAACTGGAGCTGAGAACTGAAGACGAGCGTGTAGAACGCCACGAAACTGAACCAGAGCCAAGGCTGAAGGTGTAACCCTGTGACGACCGCTGAGTAGCCTGGTCGTCAACCCAAGAAGCGTCTGAGTGCCCAGTGAGGACAACTGGGCTCGTCCCTCCAAGCACTAGCCCCATGCCTGATGTGCTGCACAAGTAGCGCAGTACCCTCTTAGCAGCAGCCATGTGCTCAGGTCGGTGCCGACCAGGAGCCACATAGCGAGCCAGAAGACCAAGAGGGTACGCGAGGTCAGGTCGAGTGCAAGTCATCAGGTACATGAGGCAGCCGACTAGCTCTGGGTAAGGACCACTCGGCTCTACGGACTCGTCCGAAGGTGGAGTTGAGAGCGAGTGACCTGTAGCCAGAGGAGTGGCCTGTGCTGAAGACCAGGTGAAGCCGAAGCGCTGAAGGACCTGCTGCACCATGTGTGACTGAGTCAAGGTGATGGTGCGGCGTGCTCTGTCCCGGGTGATCTGCAAGCCAAGGTAGCTGCGCAGCTCACCCAAGTCTGTGCACGTGTGTCTCTTCTGCAGCTCCGACTTCACGTGGGCGAGAGCCTCAGTGTCAGCAGTGGCAAAAACCAAATCGTCGACGTACACGAGGATGTAGAACGGCGGCAGTGAAGTGTCGGTGCGCAGAAACAGCGACGGGTCAGCAGTAGAAGGCGCGAACCCAAGAGCCGCAAGCGTAGTCCTCAGTGTGTCGTGCCACTCACGTGGCGCCTGGCGGAGACCGTAGACCGGCCGCCGGAGGCTCCACTGGGTACCAGGAGGGAACGACCCAGTGAAGCCCGGGGGGCGGCGCAGCCAGATCTCCTCGTGCAGGCTGCCCTGCAAGAAAGCTGTGCTGAAGTCAAGAGAGTGAAGCTCGTAGTCACGGTGAGCAGCAACGTGCAGCAGCACCCGAAGAGTGGCCATCTTCGGGGTGGGGGAGAAGTTCTGGAAGAAGTCAACTCCCTCTCGCTGACTGAAGCCTCGAGCAACGTAACGAGCCTTGAAGACAGGCGGAGAACCTGGCGGCCGCTTCACCCTGAAAATCCACATGCCACTGACGATGTTCGCCCCAGGAGGGGGAACCTCGTCGACGTAAGTGCCAGTGGACTTCCAGGATGCCATCTCTGCGTCCATGGCTGTCTGCCACTGAGAGGAGTACTCACCCGCGATCGCCTCAGCGTAAGAGCGCGGGGTCGGGATGTCTCGTGCATCCGGGTCTCCCTCAGGGGCAAGCAGCATGGCAACGAGATGAGGCGCAGCGGCTGCAAGACACTCAAGGTCCTCGTGCCTGTCCTCAAGGACGTCCGTGCTAAGAGCACACTCACCCCCGACGGACGGAGGACAGACAGACTCAGACTCAGTAACAAGACTGGCAGCGAAGTCTAGACGACAGGCAGCAGCAAAGTCAACAAGCTCAGCGACAAGAGCAGACGCAGCAGCAGACTCAAACGACGGGTCAGTGATAACAGTGGCTAGTAGACGCGTGACAGTAGGGTGCTCAGCACGAAACCGGTCAGACGCAGGGTCCGGAACGTGAGGCAAAGAGGACGCAGGAGGAGACGGCAGAGGAACAGGCTGCGGAGCAGAGGAAGGACGACGGACTACGAGGTGTGCGCTGGGGACAGCCGGCTGACGCGAACGAGGAACACGACGACCGGTACGACTAGGACGAACAGGCGAAACAGGACGCGACGCAGGCTCACGACGCTCAGCAGGACTACCAGTCTGCACAGTGTAAGGAGAAGGAGCAGGCAGCGGTGAGCCAGGTTGTAACGGAAGACCAGTAGACGACGGGAGAGTAAGAACCTGACGAAGAACAGAGTCAGACGGCGGCAGAGACGATGGAGACGGCGGAGCAAAGAACAGTCGTGTCGGCGCAGCTGCACCAGGACCGGCAGCTCCAGCAGCTCCAGTGCCTCCAGCAGCTCCAGCACCTCCAGCAGCTCCAGAAGCTCCAGTCCCAGAGCCGACACCTCCAGTCCCAGGGTCTCCAACCTCTGTGTCTCCAGCAGCAGCACCCCCAGAACCAGCACCTCCAGTCCCAGGGTCTCCAGACGCAGTGTCACCAGCAGCAGCACCCCCAGAACCAGCACCTCGAGACCCAGGGTCTCCAACCTCTGTGTCTCCAGCAGCAGCACCCCCAGAACCAGCACCTCCAGTCCCAGGGTCTCCAGCCTCAGTGTCTCCAGCAGCAGCACCCCCAGAGCCAGCACCTCCAGTCCCAGGGTCTCCAGCCTCAGTGTCTCCAGTACGAGCACCTCCAGAACCAGCGACTCCAGCACCTCCAGTAGACAAAGGACCAGCACCACTCCTAGCTCCAGCAGCGCGACGCTGACGGCGACCGTACCAGTCCTGCAGCTGCTGTGGGGTGAGAGGCACACGTGGACGAAGGCGGCTACTCCAAGGAGACCGCGCAACAGCAGACTCAGAACCCTCAGCGCCCGCACCCCCAACGGCTCCAGAACCTCCGGTGTCAGTACCCTCAGCACCAGTACCTCCAGCGGCTCCAGAACCTCCAGCGCGAGCACCCTCAGCAGCTCCAGAACCTCCAGCTCCAGCGCCACCAGTACTAGGCCCTCCAGCAGCTCCTGAACCTCCAGCGCCAGCACCCTCAGTAGCTCCAGAACCTCCAGCGTCAGTACCGCCAAGCTCAGCACCCCCAGACCCCTCACACTCAGGCTCAGCACCACCAAGCTCCACACCCTCAAGCTCCGCACCCGCAGGCTCAGCATCCCCAGGCTCCGCACCCCCAGGCTCAGAATTCCAGAAGTAGCACCCCGAGCAGGACCACCCTCAGTAGGACCTGAGTCACCAGTGACCTCAACCGGCGCAGTCAAGGGAGGAGGGTCTACCTGAGAAACACCTGAAGGAGCAGGACCTGGAGCGGGGAGGGGGTCTACCTGGGGAGCACCTGGAGCGAGGAAGAGCGGCGGGGGGGGGAGCGGGGCAGTGCGGTAGGGGAAGAGACGGTAAAAGGGAACCGACTCGTCGAACGTGACGTCCTGAGACGCAAAGACACGGCGCGAGGTGGGGTGGTAAAACTGCCAACCAGGCGCGTCAGGGACAAAGCCAAGGAAGACACAGGGAACAGCGCGGGCGGAGAGCTTGTCCGCGGTGGTATCGCGGACAAAGGCACGAGCACCCCAGACCCGGAAACGCGACGCATCGCCAACCTTCCCCGTCCACAGCAGTGTGGGCGAGGTCTCCGGCAAGGAGACACGGGGCCAGAGGTTGAGCTGATGTGCGGCGTACCGGACCGCAAACGGCCACAGAAAATGGGGGGCAGCCGCATGGATCATGGAGGTACGAGCGACCTCCATGACTAAGCCAATGCGGCGCTCAGCAACCCCATTCTGCTGCGGAGAGGCCGGAAGCGTGAACGACTGGGTGATGCCGTGCTCCGCACAGTAGGCTGCCAAGAGGTCTGAGGTGAACTCACCACCTCTGTCAGAGTGCAGACGCAGGACAGAAAAGTCCCGCTGGAACCGCCGGCGGAGCTGGAGACGAGCAGCGCGGATCCAGGGGATCAAAACATCAGGGACGTCCCCCTTGCTGCGCAAGGGGAAGACCGTGGTGTAGCGCGTGTAGTCGTCGACGACCAGCAGGAAGTACCGCTCGTGGCCCTGTCCACGGACGCGGGCTGGGCCCCACACGTCCAGGTGGAGCGTCTGCAGTGGAGCCTCTGTGGGAGGAAACGAGGAGGAGTGAGGAGCGGCGCGCTGCCGCCCCTCGACGCAAGGAATGCAGGGCGGCGCAGGCGAGGGAGGGAGGGCAGGCAGCTACCTGGGAAGACCAGAGACCAGGGAGCGAGAGTGCATGCTACGCAGGCGAGGCAAGGAGGGGTGACCAAGGCGGTGGTGCCACAGGAGAGTGTCGTGTGACAAAGCGCGACACTCGCAGGGGGCCGCCAGCTGACCAGACGTAGACGCAGACGCAGCTACCTGAGGGGACTCAGTGGTCAGTGTGTACAGACTCGAGCCAGGTGCACGGGTGAACGTGGCCAAGTGCCGGCCCGTCCTAGCACACGTACAGTGAGTCACTCGCTGACTCGCAGGAGTGAACTGGTCAACCTTGTGATCCTGGAGGTCAGCTCCACTCACCAAGTTCGTAGAGAACGAGGGGAGGTAAAGACCTGACAGGAAGCCAGACGGGACGGCCGGACACGGCAGAACCGTGGAGTAGTGGGCA